AAGTACGTATACGCGAACTTAGGAACGAAAAGTCGTGAAAACAATAAGAGACGTCAAGATGAGAACTCTAAGGAACTCGCAACAAGGACGAGTCAGGAGTGGTGTAAGACTAATTCTCATCGGGCATAGAATCACGGAACACGAAACTTTTCTCTCGCAATTGCTTGGCTTCGGGTTGGTCGTCGCCTGTCTTCGGCTGCCGTACAACTCGTTTCTTTTCTTCTCTACTTTTTCCGTTTCCGTCCTATGGATCTCCTAAAAAGTCGTTCGGATTCTGAAACTTGCCGGTCGTCCCCCGACATTTCACAGCATCGCTGCACTTGGTCACAATGGACGAGTTAACGAGAATTCGGTTAAACGATCAACCTCCTTTTCTACCATTATTTTGACCGAATGTCTTTATCGAGGTCCTGATCGCGACAGTAACAAAGTCTCGATAAAGCAAAGAGCAGAAAGAGGGTCGAGTGACGAGCGGTCCAGTCGTCGAAAGCGTAGAAGCAAACACGTATCTCTGTGTTTTCAAATCTTTACAGAGCTAAGATTATTCGCTCGAGAGATCGGTAATTGAACAACGTTCCGATTAATTTGTGTTTCCGGCTGAAAAAACCGATTAATAGAAAAACAGGACTCGGAATAACAATCAACCCCGAGGGCACACTCGATCGTAATCGAAGCAGCTTAATTAACCGTGCCGAGCTCCGACCTCGCAGCGTTTTAATTCGAATTTTTCTGAACGCGCGATCAAAGGGCCGACCGGGTGCAGGAAAATACGTGGAAATCGGGGAATAGATAAAATAGGAAAACTAATGAAAGAACGAGAGAGCGACCAAAGCGAATCGTCGTTCGCCGTTGCACCGTTACTGCGACCGATCGATACCGAGCCAAGTTACGAGTACTCTCTAACATATAATACGTTTCCAGTTTTCGTCTATTCCTCTGGCTAGCACGCTCTCTCTTTCGTCTACCGTCCAGCCCGATGTTTCACGACCTACCCATGCTTCGCCTAAACCCCACGCCGGCTAAGCTATAGTATACGTAGCGCATCCTGGAACGTCCTATACGAAGTCTTTCGAAAATTACTCGCCAACTCACGGACCCGTAAGTTCCGACTGCTCGAAATTAGTTTCCGCGAAAGCGTTTCGTCATTAGGTATGCGCGCTTCTGAATTCGTTAAGAAGAGAATTGTCCGACTTCTCCTTAAGCCTCCTTCGCGCAGTGTCCCTCAAAGGAGAGCACATTCTTTCAGTCACAGGATCGTGCCTCACCCTCTGCGAACCCGAAAGCAACCTATCCTCTCCTCTCCTCTCCTCTCTTCTCCTCTTCACTCCTCCCTTTCCCTTCTCACCCTTTCCTCTCTTTCCTTTTAAGGTAAAAATATCACTGCTGAAATTGCGGGACGGTAACGAGGCCAATGCTCCTTCTACTGGAAAACTGCCGTTCTTAAAGTTCGAGGTCTCACTTTTGGCAAGTCGTTTCCCTGGATAAACGGTATAATTCCGCTTCGAATTGATGGCCCGTAATTTATTTTGTCACGCGCCGTCGCTACCCCCTCCGTGTTCCCCGTAGCGTGATTAGGACAATTTCTCTTTACCAGAAGAGAAAGCATTTGTACCGTTTAACCATTTTCCTCCGTTAACGTTATCAAAGTATTCGGGGTTCGAGAGGCGGTTAATAGTTCGAGTTCTACTACTTGAACTCGATTTTCTACCATTACGATACGATTTCTCGACAAACGGTGGGATTGCTCGTTTTCGGATTAAGCAATCCGCGGTAGACGATGTTTGTCCGAATAAAAAATACTCGCTCAGCGATACCTTTCAACGTACAACCTTCGCTGACCGGGTTAAAAGGTCGCCGCTTAAAGGATCGTCCCGTAGATAAACCAATTCGATTTAACTGCCCGTTATAGTAAGTATGACACTGATTCCCCATCGAGGTCTTCTATTTCGAGCAATATTCGGCCGAGTTTTAAAGGCACTCCACTTGGCGTCAACTGGGTCATCGTATACCACGTTAAAGGAATCGTTACGGATCTGTACGGACGTCCTCGAACTCAACGACGCCAATCATTTTTGACTCCGCGGACTGTAACTGTAACTGTAACTACTCCATGCTCGACGTTAATCTCACTTTCCTACTACGAACGATGAATAAGCGACGAACATAGAAGCTTATCGAACCAGCCAACCGCGACATCTATTTCCGATCACAGTTAGGATTTAGCCCAGACGTTTCTGCGACTTCCGAAGCACTCCCCGAAAACAGCCAGAGATATCTAAAATCAGCATCTCCGCGATGCAACCGTAAATTACCGTCGCTAGGATAATCTTTCAACGATACGAAGGATAGAGGAAGAAACTCCGTTTACACACGATTTATACGTAGAAATGAACGGGTTCGATTCGAGCCTGAGTTACAGCGCGGCCGGCGTAGAGCAACCGACGTGATATCGATTCGTTTCTATTGCCGAAAAATGGTAATACGGTTGGACAGAATGGCGAGCTTTTCCCCGGGAAAGACGTCTCAATTTCGATACTACGTGCCACAGGAATGCGAAACGAGGACATCGAACGCGAGCAGAGAGAATCTTATAGAGCGGTGTGTTCCCAAATTCTGTTTCTTCGCTTGAAAATCAACGTAGCTACAAAACGATACAAACGAGTTTTTACGACTAAACCAATTTGGAAACATTTTTTCATTCATATTTCGAATATTTCGTCCAGAGAGATAAGAGTCACGACAACTTGCCGTGATTCACGTTTCCGTGGTCGTGCCGAACGGCAAGCAAGCTATCGATGACACAAAATACAATTAACGATCGCGAGAGGGTAACGAGCACACCGCGCGACAGACGTTCGTGATTCATCGTAGCAAGGTTAAGCCTATTCGCATAATCGGACAGCGACGAATCACCTCTGCCATTAATTACGGAACCGTGCAATGCACGTTTATCAAGCTGAACGGTCCAAGAGCAACAAGGGGCTGGATAAGCAGACACAGAATTGGCAAATGGTCGTGTCAACGACGCGACGCGTCAAAGAAAGACGAACCGATCGATGAAGCCTTAAACCAAACTCGAAGGTTGGGACACGTTATTTCGGTGCATTATATGCAACCAAAAAGCAGAATCAACGATGTCGGGGTTGCACCTACAACCACGAGACCACGTAAAATTTGAGAATCAGAGTTAGTTTCGTTCCAACGATTTGTTTGCGGTCGAAATACTTATCGTAACCGACTCGAAGCAGCCGAGTGTCGAGCAACTCGATTTACGAATTATTCCCGCGCAAAATTTCAAGGTTCGAGTATCGTACCGGCACGTTCTTTACGCGACACCGTCGCGTTAGGGTACATTTTCAAGGAAAATTCGTGGCGATACGCGATCAACGGACGTCTGCTTAATATACTACGAGAACGTAGATAAGGGATGAGTTTTTGAATAATTAATTAAATGATGTTGTAGTTTATTTTTGCGCGCGATGGAGTGAGAAAATGATGGATTATCATAAAGACAGACAAGTTTGTCAGAATGGAGGAGAAAAAAGGATGGCAAGTTGGCTGACTTTCGTCCGTCTTTCTTCGACCTTCCTAACCTACAAAGCGAACCCTCGCCCTCGGTATCCATTCGCGCATTCACTGACACGCATGTCTCGTCGAACACCTACATCGGTAAACAAAATCATTCCGCGTTACCAAAGAAACCGTAAATAATAATCATGGGGCAAATTTTAAACTAGGCATCGATGTAAATGGATTACCCTCGAAAACGGTCGTGCTCGGAAAAACGAACGATGCCGCGTCACCAACCTCGATACACCTTCGATGTCCCATCAAAGCGCGTACAACGTAGATACGGTTCCCTTTTACCTGCCACTCAATTTAAAAACTCCCAATGTATGTATATTTCCCTCGGAATGGAACCAATTTTACCGAGAACGATGACGAATAGTAATATAAATATAATTTCAATAACATTCTATTCGAGAAAAGAAAATTGTACACCTACAAATAGTTACGTTCCATAAGTTACTTAAAGAAAAGTTTTCGTCAATTTGTTGGATGAAATATGATGTTTCTTCGAAGATCAAATATCGTTACATAATATGGTTTCCATTTTCGATTCTTGTACGTTACATGCTAAAAGTCGGAGTTGTTTACGATAAACGATGAATTTAACAACATTCGAAGATTCGTTATGTTAAAACAACCAAGTCGGTAGAAAAATTGTAAAATTTCCCATGAAAAATATCGTGACCGCTAACACAAGTTTAAACTTAGTTGCGTATCCGTCAAGTTGGGTTATTAGAATCTAACGAATAGACAAAGATAAGGAAGATACATGGTTGCGAAGGTTAATCGGAAGAATGGAGTAGCGGATATACATAGTGTTCGCGGAGAAATGGTTCGGTACGAGGAGACTTTGACGACAGGCATCGAAAGCTCGGCCGCTAAAGTCTCGAGACCGTACAGAAATTGGCGGACAGGAAAAGCAAGCCGCGTTCGAGATCGATGAGGGAGACCTGCAGCGGCCTAACCCTTGCGTTTTATCGAGCCGCGGCATACGTACCGCTCGCGACGTGCAGCCACGAAAAAGAGAGAGTAGGAAAATACGCTGCCGCGACGGGATCGACGAAGAACGATAGAGTACGCGCGGTGCACCCCATGAACGTAGGCGCGTGTCGCTCTCTCGCGATTTCAACGCGTTCGAAATATTACAAGCAAGCTCGCGTGTTTCTTTGCTCACCGAGTCGTATTTAATAAACGCGTAGCAAGATAATCGACCAACATATGTGAAGAAAATGTAACTTTCGTGCTTTACTTTGCTCTGTTGTTGTGGGAGAATACAACGCACGAGATAGATATGTATACAGACATATACATATGTATCTATATAGATATGTATATATACACTAAACGTTCTAGGATGAGTTTGAGAGTCAGTGTTTTGAAACGCATTTTATAAGTAATATCGAATAATTCCAATTATTACGCTCGCTTACCTCGAATTTCAGGTGACTCCTGATACGTTCGAAGAGTACAAAGTACAACCGAAGAAGGCCTGGCTCGAAAAACAGTCTACGACGAGGACTACCGGCGAGAACGACGACGATGTCCGTACGAGTCTCACGTTTCGACTACGTGCGTCTCCCCGGTCGTCGGTGGCGGCGACGACGGTGGCGGCGGCGGCGGCGGCGGCGGCAGCGGCGGCGGCGGCGTCGGTGGTGGTGGTGGTGGAGGAGGTGGTAGCTGCTTTCCGTCCTCCAAACGGGAAAAGAAGGGTAGAGAGATAGCGAAAGACAGGGAGAGACCGATGAGATCGAAGTCTCGTGGCAAACGGTCGTGGACTGAGTGAACCCAAGTTCCAACTGAGCGGCTGTGTCGCGCCGACGACAGTGGCGCCACTCGACGGAGGGTTATCGAATCACCATCGATCCATTGAAAATGGTATGGGGCAACCTCACCAGCGAGCGCACGCGGAGATCGGGGAGAAGGGTGGCGCACCGACAGAGGGTCGAAGAGGGTGCACGGCCAACGGAACCCTACCCTTCGTCCTTTGAGAGGAAAAGGGAGAGGGTGAGCGACGAGTCGAGTTGGGAAGAGGGCGGGGCGTATGCATCCCACACGTTCCTATCTCTATGTTGTCTATGTTCCTATATCTTTTTCTCCCCCTCTCCCACTCACCCTTGCGTCCAACTGTTTCCATGACTCTTTCTTTTTCTCTCTTGCTTCATACACAAATAGCCCTCTATATTCACCTATTTCTGTGCTTTGTATAGTTACACTTCAACTATCTAGTCTCTATACTTTTGCGACTATAAAAAAATGTTTGTTCGTTAGTTGACCCAACGCCAAAGCTGCATCGACGCGTAAAGGTAATTTAAGGAATCCGATCCGACCTTGTTACCGAGTTATAGGCGATTTGTCTATCGTTCTTGCGGAAACTTTCTTTTCAAATCATTTGCTGCGACAAATTATCTTACGTTTGAAAGCAAGCTTGCAAATACTAACGTTTACTCATCGATACTTATTTCTAAATAATTTGAAAGTTCGTACGCAAAATACGAAGCATCGATTTTAATTTTACCACGCACTTTAGCCGTTATCATCGTCTTTTTAGCCTCACAACCTTCCGGTTCCTCCTAGATAATCATCTAGCATCGTGCAGGTGCGCTAACCTCGAAACTATCGACGGAGCTCCCTATTAGATGCACCGACGGAACTTTGCTCGTACGAACTTGCAAAAAAGGGAATATGGGTCGTCGAAAGATGATGAGAATTTCGGCGGTACGTTACATCCCGTTCTGCCTTGGATAAGATGAGAAATTTCGCCGCCATCGTAAACGCTTTACCCCTAAAGCGTCTCTCATAAAATGTTGGACGTAAATACAGTGCTCGTCGTCTCCGTTATAACTCATTCGAATACGCGGCTATATATACTTGTGTATTTTATGAATCGATAAAAGAGTTGAGTTGGTCGTCATTGTTTCGCTCATCTGGCGCGATACCTGATATGAAACATGCTTCGCATGGTTCGCGACTACCTCGATCCGAGTTCCCCGTGCGTTTTGCGACAATAAAAGACGTTCTCGTATACGTATATCGCCTCGAGATCCATTAAGTAAACGCAACTTTTCCACGAGCTGTCGTGTACATGCAAACGTTTTTAACTGAGAGTGCTTTGTGGAAAAATGTAAATCTGGGTCAACTTTATTCTGAATAGAAAACCAACGCGACGGTGATACGAAACCGTGTTCCAAAGTTGGCGCGATATATGCATTATTAACTTTCTCTTTAAAATTTAGTCGACGCGTGTACTATGTACTGTACGCGAATATGAACAGCGCCGAACAAAAGGAACCCGTAAATATTTCGACGAGTAACGATATTTAAAAACAACAAACGATCGTTTCCCTTTAACAGCTGCGTACCAGCTCGTACATTGACCATTTCAAGGTATAACGTCGTGACGTTATCGTGAAAATTTTACGAGTGTCTAGAATCGTTGCTTGGCATGGATACAGCTAATGGCGTGACGTACACCTACGTAGCTCAGCTTTATCTCGCATTGTTGAATGAATCACGAGTGATCCGACGATAAATCGATGGCATTCAAAGGAGTGCAAGACGCGATACTTTGAAAATCGCACAGCTTTAAGTGGATTACTTATCGGGCAAAGACATAAATTCAAACTTGTTTCGTAAAGCTCGAGCTTCGTAAAGTCCAAAGACTTGAAACTCGGCTTGTACGATAAACATTTTCTGCGAGCAAAAGCAAGGAGCAACGAAAGCTGCGAATCGCAACAATCGCAATCGGTCGAATTACCTTCGAATAAAATGTTCGAGGCAACAGTTTTTTGGTAAAAAAGTGACCGCGGTAGGACTGAACGTGTCGGTAACAGCTTCGAGTATCCGGACGGACAAATCTGTCAAACGCATTTTACGAACGGCAGAAATTCTTACGCAAAACCGTGAAACGAGGTCCGAACGAGACTTCGGACCGAAAGGGAAGCCGGAAATTACGTAATTTCCCTACATTCTGCCAGGAGTTGCACGCTGTACGCGAGACATCCCGTCACACCAAATATAGAATTTCTAATCGAATCGATAATTACGGGATACCGCGCAAAGGAAGGAATTGATAACCTTTCTTTCCCGGAGGCGATTTTCATTCACCCTTTCCAGTGTCTAGTTTTTGCAAGGGAGAGAAAAGGAACCAATAGCAGAGCACGACTCGGAAAGAAATCGCGGAAAATCGGATCACGGCTATGCGTGAACCGACGAAAGAAACACATGTTTTCTCGATACAAGTAAAAATATCGTAATTGAACAATTCAGCCGTTATGGTACAGAAGATTGAAAAGAAGGTGTACCCTTTTCTTAATGCCTTTGGAACTCGATCCGTCTCTGACTTTTCATTTCCTCACGGTAATTCTGATAAATTCATCGTTTTACGAGCGAAGGTAACGTTGAGCGTCTATGTCTACGTCACATTTATATGTTCGTATGAATTCTTGGTGTTCCTCGGATGCCCGCCAGACTTTGGTTCTAGGAGCTACTACTGGAATCACGTCCTCAGAATGGCGAAGTGCAAATCCATGTTAGCGGTATAATGTTCCACTATAAGTTTTAGAATTATGTGGACCGTGATAAGCATGTCGAAAAGCGTCGAAACGCGTTGTTGTCTTTCAGCAATTTTGTGTAAAGTTATTTTTGAACGCTTCTTTTTTTACGTCGAGCGTTGCTACGACAAGCTTCAATTTACTCTCTTTCCGATATTTGTTTCGTGCTCGAAATATTGAAATTGGTTCGTTAAAAAAAAAGTAGAACTTTTGACGAACCGAGACGTGACGAGACAAGACGAGACGAGACCAGATGCGATACGATGCGATGCGATTGGTACTCAAGAAATTTCACACCTACTGGCCAGAGTAGCGAATGTGGACACACGTCGATCCGTGCCGAGGTTCTTACGAGGATCGACGGTGTGCAAACGGACGTAAGCAAATTGTAAACACCCTTTGACTATCAAGTGTAAGGAACGAAATTCAACTCCGGGTCCAATTCGTCTGCTTTACGCGTGTAGATTGCAACGTCAGGCGTGCACCAAGGTGCTCGTCAACTGGAAAATTATATGGCTTCCGCTCGCATTTAATTCATTAACGATATGCTTGCAACGTTGTCTCGCATTCGACTAACGAGCACGCTTGATTATCTTACGCGATTGTAGCGTCGTAAGTCGTAAGTCGTAAGTCGTAAGGAGTGCAGAAAGAAATTGAAAACACCACGAAAATATCTGAAAGCGAATTTGATTAACAAAACAAGAAAGCATTCGGATGATCGATAAGCTATCGATAAAAATGCATTAATCGATGTATCGATTTAATGAGACAACAGAGCTACGGGCAGAGATCTCTCCGGAAGAGGTGAAAAAGCATAGGTGCTCCATGAAAGTTCAAAGTATCGTCAAAAATGCGGTTGCGCTCCGAAGTTGACCTAATACACTCCCTCGATGAAAAATTGCTTCGTACGAAAGCAATAACCGCATTCTTGGTCGCATGACCATTTAATAAAAGACGCGTTCGACTATGCCGAAAGACGTCGATCGCGAATATTAGATTTTACCGTCTCGCGTTCTCGAAAAAGGACGTTAACGGTTAACGCAGGGAGTGGTCGTGTGCGCGACAAGATTAATTAAACTTTAATTGCTTCGATGCAATCGCAGCCGCGTTTCTAAGCTGTGACGGACCGCTGGAAAGGATTTTCGCGATCGTAGAGATTCGCTCAACTTTTAAAACAGTTGAAGCCGTTGCGTTGGCGTTGGTTCACCGTGAAATCCCATTGTTAGAGGAATGCGTTTTAATTGCGACGTAAGCGGGCTCGTTGCAAGGGTGTCGGTCAGAAATTACCTCGAGGGCGAGTTGTACGTTTCGAAGCAACCCCTTTAAATCGGATGCACAGAACGCACACGCTGACAGACTACGTTGCAATTAAGCACTCGATCTTCGACTTTTTTTTCGTCTAGTCCCTCGTCAAACATTCAACAATCCATTCTGCTACTTTTCGATTAGCAAGCTTCGAGAGGTTCGGAAAAGCAATTATCGTAAAAATTCTTATAGAAACGACAGCGCCCGAAATAAAAATTGACCAAGATTTGGTAAAAGGAATGATTCAGTGGTAATGTGGTCACGGCGACCTCGGTCAGAAGAATGGATAACTGAAGAGAATGGAGTTGATAAGTGAGAGATCTGCAGCTAGTCGTATGCGCGGCATTTCTTTTCGACGCCGACACCGACGTCGCGTTTTCAATTTATCGTTTGCACTCGTATCGATACTCTACGAAATTACAACAGATATTTTGTAATCATATTTTCTATTTGATATTAATTTATACGCGAATAGATGGCTAGTTTGACTCGGTTATTAATCAAAGAACAGAGGAGAAATTGAGTATCGTTATAATTTCATTTCGATATTTTCATAGAGACAAATTAATCTACGCGCAACAAAAGATCTGATTGCGTAGTTGAGAAAGACGGTACGTCACGTCGCAAGCTATTCGAAGATTGTTTCACAAAATTGCTGCCTTACGATCAACGGCAACAACTACGAAAACAACAACAACAGGGTTCAACAAAGTTTACATCCGAAGTTGTGTCCTCGCGGCGCGTCGCCAGAAAATTACTTAATGAAACACAGCGTAACGTAAACGAACATTTACTTTACAAGGTCGCCGAGCGGAGCGACGTAAACGCGCGCAAAATAAAACTAGCAGCTGGTATATAAGCGTGGTTTAAAGCGTGCACGAAATAACGCATAATTCGTATATGTATATATTTTTAGAACTTT